AAATAGCTTGCTGGAGGCAGGACACATGCTCTCTCCCTGGGAGACATTCCAGCTGAGAAGACACATGGAGCTACACTAGTGCCCTGAGCTGGAGGAGCCATGTAGAGACCCCTGCCAGGGCTGAGATGCCTACACTGCCACTGGATCCACAAAACGTTCCACTCACTGGGCTGTGATCTTCCAGTGCATGCGTTGTGCGAGTCTGAAGAGGAATTTACATACTAGTATAGGACATATCGGCTAATAACAGATTTATGGAATTGATCTAGACTGGGCTGGGATGTTTTCTTAAAATATAATTGCTCTTTATAAAAAGTTCTCTATTACACACACACGAGTCTCCCTGGATCTGTGTCTCTAGTCTACCTCAACTAACACAATAGCATTCCGAGAAACAGGGTTTGCCAACACCAACCCTGCCAGGGTTTTTCAAGCCTTGGCCTGCCTTCAGTGTTCAAGCTCTTGACCCACGTTACAGCCCTTTGTGGTTTCTCATTCCCCTCTCCCTGATTCTCTATTCTTGCCCCTATGGAGTCTGCTGCAAACTCCTTACCAATTTCAAAGCATGACCCTCCCAGCAGGGCCACAAACTGACCACTATCCTTGGCAGACCATAGTCACTTCATTTGCAAAGCATATTGGTCATCGCCTGCAAGCTGTGTATAAAGCAGCCTGGGGCCAAACCAAAATAATCAAACCAGCAAGTTGTTTACCCAGGAAATGTCAATCAGCCTAAAGAAAATTAGCAGACCCTCAGATGGCAATCTAGGGCAAAGAAAACTCCTTAGGGCTTAGTTAGAAAATATCTCAGAGAATTAAGGGCGGGAAAAGCTCACAAAATATCTCCTTTCACCGCAGAGTATTTGACAATGTTCATACTATATAGTCTTTAAAACCTCAATCTTTAAAAAAAACAAAAAAACACCTCAATCTTAAATACAAGTGAAAAAATGCATTATCATGACATAAGGCTCAAACTAAATTTGGTTTTGCTCTATCATTAGTTATTCCAATCCTGTTTATGTCTCTGTGTCACTCACTGCATTGAAGACACATTTATCATGGAAAGTCATTTTATATGCCTTATATTGTCTAACACCCCTGAGCAGTGACATCAGTCAACTGAGTAGACTGCTAAACACTGATGTGTCTGAGAAAGCTTGGTGATACACTTCCAAAGGATTAGCCATTGAAAACGCTATGGAGAATATATTCTGCTACACATGGCCACTATGATTCAGAAATGACTCAATGACAATGGGTTTATTTCTTAAATATCACTCAGGAGGCTTCAAAAAGTTTGTGGGAAAATGGAATTGACAGATAATAAAGTTTTCTCATGAACTCTTTGAAATCCCCTTGGATATTTTCACTTATATGATTGGCTATTACTATTCTGAAATAATATTATTTGGTAGACACTTTCCTTTTTTTTTTTTTACTTTTAAATCATTTTATTTTAATAGAACGTAGCAAAAACAGATCAACTGTACACAGTCCCGCACTACAAACATCTTGTACGCAACCCCCTGTTAGGAGCCAACTCCCACCCAGCCTATTTCATTACGAGTTCGTGATACAATGGTTCATAAGCACAGGTGCAACATGTGTTTGCTACATGTGTCAATATCATTGTTACTGCGTTATCTTCAAAAAGATACTGTATTGGATGCAGAAGTGTTTCCTAAATGAGTTTTACTCATAATAAGGTATGCTGTGTACTAAGACTGACATTAGACTAATGTGCACTAGATCCAAAACTGTACCTGATGTATGTCCACAGCGGCGTTAATGACAGACTGAGGAGGAACTCATGCATAATGCAAGGACCGCCTGTCATAGACCCAGTCTTCAGGCCATATATTTCATGGGGGACACGCTGAAAAGAGTCTAAATGTTTACCAAGAACATTTCACTTAAATTGCGGAGTTGTTTATAAAAATGGTACTTGAAAGACAAGCCCCCATGAAGGAACGCAGTGTCTAGTCAAGAGGGGCTAAAACACACTATAGAGACAATGTTCAAAGCGCCACAGCTCTCTCCCCAGAGGAAAAGCAATAAAAACAACTTCATCTGTCTGGAACAAACAGAAAGTATTTCACAAAGTGTAATTTCACAAAGACGAATTCAACAGGGAATACATTTTGTGGAGAACATTTAAAAAAAACTATGTACTTTTTGAATATGAATATATCAAAACCCAAAATGTTAGGTTTTACTTTTGTCCTTTTTGGGCAACTTTTGAGGCAATTTTGGGTTTGGGTTCCCAGAGGGCGTTCTTGACGAATCTACTGGCGGTGCCTTTGTCCAGCTTGCTGGCATTTTTCTTGTCGGTGATCTCCTTGACCCTGTTCATGTGTTCTCGGATTCACTCCAATTCCTGCTTTACTGGATATTCTTTGGGGTTAGCTCCCTGAGTGGCCAAATACACCCCAAACATTGATTTTTATGTGCAAGCAGAAACTAAATCCACTTTTGCTTGTTTGAGGGGGTCCAGCTTCTGCAGCAACTCATTTCTAGAAACAGACATCATGATCTTCAGCATCTCTTCCCTGGCACCGATGGAAGTTTCAAAGGTCGACAAACAGTCATGATTTCAGTCGGGTAGTCTTCATTGACTTCTGCACTTGCCGCCATTATGAGTAACTCGTTCGCCTCAGACGCCATCGCCCGGAAAAAGACACTTTCCTTTAAGTAATTCAATTAATTGTTATAATTACAGCATAGTGTGTTACACATTGGGCTGCTAACCGCAAGGTCAGCAGTTCAAAACCACAACCAGCAGCTCCACAGAAAAAAGATGAGGCTTTCTATTTTCGTAAAGATGCACAGTCTTGGTAACATAGGTACATTTCTACTGTTTCCATTGGGTCACTATGAGTCAGAATCAACTTACTGGCTGTGATCTTATTTTTTTTTCTTTTGAGAGCCTGTGACGTCATAGAACCATCCCAATTATATCATGGAGAACAAGGTTCAGAAAGATGACGTGATCTACCTAGGTCCACATTGCTGAGGACTTGGGATTTGAACTCAGGTCTTTCACTTCAGGCTTCCATTGTCCTGGACTTACCTTTGACCCAACTGTCCTAATTTCCCAGAGTTACTGTTACAGCCCGATGATGGCAACGCGGATATGCCAAAGTAACACATTGATGTTTCCCAGGCCTGTAGGACAGAAGTCTGAAATCTAAGGGTCATCAGTGCTCTGGTGTATATAAAAGCTGCAGGAAAGACTTCTTCCTTGTTTCTCCAACACTCCTTGGCTTGTGACAGCACCAGTCCGATCGCTATCTCCAGCAGAGAATTTGTCAAAGCCATCCACTTGTGCTTTTCCTAACAGCACCAAGTAACAAGACAATGGGGTCTTCTTTCAACAAAGGGAGAATGTGTGAAAATAGAGTGGCAAACAGATGAGGCTGTACAGCCACAGCACACACCTGCCCTTTATTCTTCCAGGCGTTATTCTCAGTTCTCAGGTTCTGTAAACTCCTGTTACTACCATGGAACCTGCAGGCTTAGGCAATGGAAGAATTGCCCATGCTAGTTCTTCAATTTGGCAGCGCCCTTAGACATTAAAATTAGAGAAGGGAACATCCTTTTTTATGTAGTTATCTATAGTACATAGGAGCTGGTGGCAAAGTGGTTACACATTGGGCTGCTAACATCTTTCTCCACTGGAGAAAGATGAGACTTTCTACTACCACAAGGAGGTACAGTTTCAGAAACCCACAGGGGGAGTTCTATCCTGTTCTATAGGGTCATTATGAATTGGTATAGACTCAATGGCAATGCATTTGGTTTTGGATCTATGATAAGAAAAAATAATGTAATTTAAGAAATAGATTCCCTGTGGGCTTCATTCTCTTTTGAGGCCTTCTGTAAAGCATACAGTTATCTGGGGTGCAGCCATGTGGCACACGATCCAACCTTGTTTGGACAGTGGTATGGACTGAACTAGAATGTGTTAATTTCTAACCCTTACACCCGAGGCTGTGATTCCATTTGGGAGTATTTGGTTACATTAAAAGGGTATCATTAGTGCAGAACGTATCTGAAGTCAAGTGCTCCTGTGATACACCAAACAAGAGAGCGGAGATGGGGTAATATGAATGGCAGCGACAGGAAGACTGACAAAGGGGTTGAGTAACGGCAGTGACAAGGACCGTCCTCCAGAGTCAGCAGAGAATGCAAGCCTGCCCCTAGAGAAGGCACCCTACTTCAGCCTGTTAGCTTCCGAAACAGTGAGAAAATGAAATACTTAAAGCCACCCTCTTGTGGCATTTGCCTTGAGAACACTTGGGAGAAGCTTGGCTGGACCATGATGATGGAATAAAGAACGAGTGCATCTTTAGCCTAAGAAATAATGTGACTGTGGTGCCCATCTCCTATTAAGTCTTTATTTTCACTCCTCTGGTGACTGGGGAAAAAACTAGGGGATTTGTATCTGTAAGGAAAGTCGGCTTACACTTCAAGTTACGAAGTCACTGTAAGATGCAGGTGCTCAGGCTTAGTCCACCAATTCTCTTCTCAGTCCTTTCAACGGGCTAGGTAAACTGAGCCAGCAACTCCACAGTGCTCTTGTAGGAAGAGTTAAATATTTTTTGCCAATACTGCCTTTTATTAAATCTAAGAGAGACCTGTCTTTAAGTGCCTCTAAGGAAGAAGCCTTGGTGGTATAGTGGTTATGTGTTTGGCTGCAAGGTCAGCAGTTCAAACACCAACTGCGTCTTGGGAGAAAGACAAGGCTTTCTACTAGAGAAGTGACAGTCTCAGAAACTCACAGGGCAGGTCTACCCTGTCCTATAGGGTCACTATGAGTCGGCATGGACTCAGTGGCACAGGGTTTGGTTTTGGAAGGAAGAATAAAAACAGTGCTAATTATTTTAGACTGGGCTCTCAATCCTAACATTGGAGAAGTCGTAATATGCAAACATTTGTATCTCTGAAACTATGAAAATTCTCCACAGTGACATTATTGAAGAGGCAGTTTAGGACCATTTATCTGTACTAGACTCTTTATTATGTAGGCAACCATAGAAGAAAAAGAACAAGGTAAATCCTTTACATTTCAAAAATATTACTTAAAAATGCATATGGTAGAATTAAGCTATAATAATACACTAATGAGGAATATCTCTGTATTATTCCAACACCTATATTATGAATAGAGTTCTTACACAATAATATGCAGCCTACCAGACATTTAGTTCTGTTATGTAGCATATTCACGATTATCTAAAGAGAATAGGCAGGAAAAGTGCTGAGGAACAAAAAGGGGTCCATATGTGATTTTAATTCATAAGAAATAGGGCCTTTCACCTCAGTGGTAAAGGGGTAAGTTATTTGACTAACACAGGATATGTAGGCATTTGAAAGCAAATAAAATCAGATCCTTTCTATAACCATATATTGTCAGCTGACATTGCATCAATGAACAATATAAATTAAATGAACTCAAACAAGACTGCATGTTGTTATAAAAAAGGAGTTATACCTGACATTGGCATATTACAAAATTTAATTTCTTAGCGGTCAATGATAGGACTGTTCATAGAAGCACACTCAATTGTAGCAAATTTATTTCTAATGCTCAACCTATTCACATTAAAATTTACAGAAAATGAGGCAAATATTTTTATCAGCAGTGCAAAATAAATGATTTCCCAAAAGTCCATTTCTGAGTTGCATAATTTCTACAAAATGTAACTCTGAAACAAATAGAATGCCTTTAGCTATTACTAACAGAGCCCACTAGCCCAACTCACTTAAACTAGGCTTCCTCTTACAAAAGAAATAGTCCAGGGGTGGAGTGGCCACCAGTGTGACTGGATTAGTGGCTTAATAATATCATCCAGGTTCCAGATTCTTCCAGTCTTTGTGCTCTGTCATTTCGTAGAGGCATAACCAGGTGTCATGTGCAGGCAAGGTAATGTTTACTGAAAGCTAGATTCCACTTCACCCTGCATGATTCCTTGAGTCTTTGAGGAAATCTTTTACAGGAATAACCTAACAGACATTCTCTTTATCTGCCCAGAATTAAGAACGGGATTTTCAGTAGTGACCGAACTGAATTGAGATTTATCCCAACTCATGAGAGGAAGGGACACCCAAATTTTATGAGTAAACAATGAGAAAGAAATGACGAGGAAGGACAGTCACTCAACAATGCTTGCCACAAGTTCATGTTAATCAATTAGTCGAATAATAGGAAAAAGCATGCACAATGTTTAAAAGCACATCATATCGAGTAAAAATAGAAAATTCCTAAATTACATAGTACTCCTGTGCTGTACACTTATGTACTCAACCAAATAAAACAATAAATATACAAAATGGGGATATTTTAAGTACATTATAAACTATACAGAGTGCAATGAGTACTACAGCTGTATTTCATTCATAGAGCCTCCAGGTTTAACAATTTAAAATTAAGCAGTTTTCTATTATATGCATAGATTTATCTTCCACTGATTGTGTACAATTAAAAACACCAGAAGACCATTATTTCTTTAAATGGTTCCGTTCATTAACCAAATAGACCGACAAACAAGAATAGGGCTTCTCATGAAAATATAATTCTTTGGGGAACACAAAGTATACTGTAAGCCTGTGAGGCATATTTCAATGACAATGTATATGAAAATATTAACATGGTAGTGCTATTTAGAGTGGGCAATTTTACCATCTTTCATTACCAATCATCATTCTGAGCATACGATGCCTTTTCAAACATGATTCAAACACAACATATAATTCCTGTAATGTAGAATAATAACAACTAAAATAGTAAGCCCTGCCTCATCAGGAACTATGCCTCCTACTTAAAGTTGCTGTTCTGATGAATGATCCTGATGGTTTTACTGCTTTTTTAATACAAGAGATTATCTACTCACGTGTTCACAAAAGATATCTCCCGTTTTGTGTTTTCTCTCTCCTCTTCATTACACAAAAAAAGTTTGTTATCTGAAGTCTTTTATTAACAACTCCAAAATGTAGAGTCCTGTTTCCACATTACTTGATAGATTTCTCTCCTTGGTAGAAACTCCCTGATATTTTGAATGTACAGTCAATTTATAGAGTCTACTCTACATAGTATTTACAAAATTTTACGCTTTTTATAGTCTGGTGTCCAGTAAGCTGTGTGATCTTGCTGAAAAGTTCTACCCTGTGAATTTTCAGATTACAAGTCTGACTACAGAACAAAAGATTTTTAATTTTCTTTTTCACATTCACATGTGAACTCTCTGGGTTGGATATTCTTATTCATTAGAGTGAAAGGATTCTATGGGATAAAAGGAAGTCTGACTTCAGAGAAGCCTTTCCATATCAATTCCATTCATGTTTGCTTTCCTATGAATTCTTTGATGGCTATTGAAGGCTGACTTATGATAGAACTTTTTGCCACACTCACTACATTCATAGGGTTTCTCTCCTGAATGAGTTCTATAATGTACAGTGAGGTATGACATCCGAGAGAAGGCTTTCCCACATTCGTTACATTCAAATGGTTTCTCTCCTGAATGAATTCGATGATGTATAGTTAGATACGACATCTGAGAAAAAAATTTTCCACATTCATAACATTCATAGGATTTTTCTCCTGTGTGTGTTCGCTGGTGTCTATTAAGGGCTGAATTCTGGCAGAAGGTTTTCCCACATTCACTACATTCATAAGGTTTTTCTCCTGAATGAATCCTATGATGTATGGTGAGGTATGACATCTGAGAGAAGAACTTCCCACATATGTAACACTCATAGGGCTTCTCTCCTTTGTGTATTCTCTGATGTCTACAGAGTGCGGAATTCTGGTAAAAGGACTTCCCACATTCACTACATTCATAGGGTTTCACACCTGAATGAGTTCTATGATGTACGTTGAGGTACGACAACTGAGAGAATAATTTTCCACATTCATTACACTCATAGGGCTTCTCGCCCGTGTGAACTCTCTGATGTCTCATGAGGGCTGAGTTCAGGTAGAAGGTTTTCCCACACTCATTACATTCGTAAGGTTTCTCTCCTGAATGAGTTCTATAATGTACAGTGAGATAGGATAACCGAGAGAAAAACTTCCCACATTCATTACATTCATAGGGTTTCTCCCCTGTGTGCGTTCTCTGGTGTGTAGTGAGAGTAGACTTGCGACAGAAGCATTTCCCACATTCATTACACTTATACAGTTTCACACCTGTGTGAATTTTATGGTGGTCGTTAAGGGCTGACTTTTGAGAGAAGGTTTTTGCACAGTAATGACAAACATAGGGTCTCTCTCCTGAATGTGTTCTCTGGTGTTGTGTGAGGTGGGTCTTCTGGCAAAAAGCTTTTCCACAGTAGCTACATTCGTAGGGCTTCTCTCCTGAATGAGTTCTCTCGTGTTGAATAAGGTGTAATTTCTGGTAGAACGTTTTCCCACACACACTACATTCATAGGGCTTCTCACCTGTGTGTGTTCTCAGATGTACAGTGAGAGTTCCTTTCTGGCAGAAGGACTTCCCACACTGATTACATACAAAAGGTTTCTCTCCTGTGTGAGTCCTCTGATGTATTATAAATTTTGACTTTTTACAGAAAGATTTCCCACATTCACTGCATTCATAGGGCTTCATTTCCAAATGTGATCTCTGATGTACACCAAGGTTTGACATTTGCAGGAAGGCTATTTCGGATTCATTCCACTTACACGGTTTCTCTTCCATGTGATTAACAAAAGCTGTCTCTGTTTGGAAAGCTTTCTGGCAATTAATATATTCAAAGGGTTTCTCCAAAATATGAATTTTCTGATAAATACTTTCATCATTTAGAGAGTTAACTTCCCCATTTTCTGCTGGATGAGTTTTCTCAAGCTTAATATTGAGAAGTGATTTCCCACATCCACTACATTCATCAGGGCTCATTTCTGCATAACTTCCATCACTACTAATATACCCTGAAATAGATGTTAAACTTTTCTCACATGAGTCACATTTATTGGAGATTTTTCTTGAGGAATCAGGGCTTGTTTCCACACTAAAAGTTTTACCAAGAACATTACCTCTCTCTTCCATCAAGATCTTGTTGATGAATACGGTTTTCCTTGAAGGTTTATCTTCATTATTCTGAACTCGCTCTATCAGGTCATCAACTTTCTGGGCTTCTTCTAAAGAGAGAAAAGATTAACATAATTTTGTATATCTTCCTACATTAGATAAAGAAAGAAACTTGCACATAAATATCTTATTGTAGGTTAGGTGATGATAATAATTTCAAGTGTACTTTCTCCCCTTAATTTGTTCAGTTTGGAAACACACACACAATCTCCAGTGGTGGAGAAATGAAGAAAGCAAACAGCACAGAAATTGAAATATAAACAAGAAACAATAATTAAAGACAAAGGATGTTAGATGAATGGCTGACAAGGCAGGAATAGAAAGGACTTCAGTAAATGAGGTAAACTGGTAAGATAACAAGGATGGATGGATGCTGAATGACGATGGTCTCCTGGTATGGATTATATATTTAAACCTTATTATTTATTATGAAATTGGGAGAGACAGATCGAAATCTAAGGCATTCTGTCCCCTTGTACTGAGACTTTGTAGCAGCATTTTCATAAGTCAAGATCCATTAAAACTCATTTTATTTCTTTTATTCTGTACAGTAGGGTCATAAAGTTTCATTCAAATTTCCTCATGCTTAGAGAAATACTTCTATACAATCTGGGCTTTAACTGCAATTCTATTTCACTTGAAAAGAGGAGCAAACAAATCTAAGCACAGCAGGAAGTAATAAATAGACAAGAGTAGGCTGCCTTTTCAAATGGTTCACGTCTTCAATATCCTAATGATGTTATAATCCAACACTGAACTCACTCTGACCATAACATTATATTAGTTCCTATTTGGGCAATTTAATATAAACTCTGGCTAAGATAATTTATTTATTACCCCTTTGTGACTAAAATTCATCCACCTGTAAATTTGAGATAATAGTACCTATCTCACAAGGTTCTTGTGGGATTACATAAATTAGTAAAAACAAAGTCAGTACAGAATCTGACATGTACCATTTTCAACCTCACAGCTGTCTTACACCAGTCCTGGCTCTGGCATTCTAGAGACACTACATTCTGAATGTGAGTGGTGCTTCCCTACTTTGCGTTTCATTTAGTGTAGACACATTCAGACTGATTCTTCCCGAAAACAACTATTTTCATTAAACTTAAACATTTGTGGATAGACTCCACTATTGTCCTTGCTATTGTCTACACAAAGTAAAACTAAATCACCCAAAAGCTGCAACTTCCCTAAACCCATCACTGCTAAAAATATCAATGCAGAACATGGGAAAAAATAAAAGACGAATCCTTTTCATCACCTGGATTCACAATATTATCAACCTGGCATTAATATGGGCAACCAAAAGTTATTTCTGTTCTAGGAAGCTGAGCTCTTTGTACCTAATAAATGCCCCAGCTCATTTCCAACCACAAGTCTGTACTCTTAATGTTTTATTCATGTGCTTGACTTCCCACCTTGATCTGCTCTATTCATGTTTATAATCCACAAGAAGAAATTCCCTTCCCTACTTCTAGGTCCTTTCTTCCTTAAAAGTAGAAAATAATAGTGCTCACAAAATAATTTTAGCACAAAGTTGTTCAGCCTTGCATTAGTACATGCACATTCCTTGTAAAATGCTAAGCTGTAAACTTATTTATGCAGCCCTGGTCTCTTTACCAAAAAGTATCTTCTAAAAAATATGACTATATTCTAGTTCTTTTCTAACCTGAGTGGAAACTAAAAGAGCTGTTCTTCATCAGATTCATATGAGTATCTTTCAAGTACTTTCAAAATATACGGGGATGTGGCCAAGGCGCATATAGTTATAAGCTATTATCTATACATCATTTCTGGGTAAGTCATTTCACCTCCCTAGCTCCACAAATGATCAACGAAGTAAATGTCTATTATATGTTACATACTACACCAAGGGAGGACCACACACTCATCTTTATAGGATTACTATCTGAGAGGAAAGACAATCAAGCAAAAAATACCTACGACCAAACAACAGACTACATAACCAGACTTAATTATTTTTAAGGCAGAACCACAGTGAGTGGAATTAAATTTAAGAGAAGGAAGAAACTGAAGTGATGCTATAGTAAGGAAGGAAAATCTTCAAAGAGCTGGAAATTTTGAACTCAGGCTTAAATGTGTTATGTGGACCAGTGAAAACACCATAGCACAATGTAAAGATGTACGTACAATAATCATACGGACAGAATACATTTAAGAGTCTAGAAGAAATAAAGTTTACAGAGAGTTTTGGGGGGAAAAAAGACTATGAATTTTGAAAGATAATATAGGATGATATTGTGGGGATGCTGAATTGACAAGGAATTTAAATGATCTCTAGGAAGTAATTAGAAGCCCTGGTAGTATAACTGGTTATGCATTGGGCTGCTAATTGCAGCTCACCAACTGCTTCCATTAAGATTTAGAGCTCCGGCCCCCAATAAAAGTATTTAAAACAAAAAGACTGAGAGCTTCAGAAACACATGGGGGCAGTTCTACTGTAGCCAACGGAGTTGTCATGAGTTGGAACCGTCTCAATGGCAGTGAGTTTGGTCTTCTGAGTTTTAGGAAGTAATAGGAAATAGCTACAGACTAGTGGTGAGAACAAAGTAAGATTACTTCAGACAAATGGATTTTACAGTCAGTTAGGGCTCAGAGCAATCCAGGCATGCCGTAATAAAAACTTTTTGTTTACATGATATCAAAAGAAACAAAGATGATACAGAGAAAAAATAAAGACATTTCACATAGTACAAGAACCAATAATTCTGGAGTGATCTGTAATCCTTTAGGAAAAGTATATATTTTGAGGTGATCCCACAGTGGCCAGTAGTGGGACGGAGGGAGCAATACAATTTAGTAAATAAAGGTTGTGGGAAGGTGAATGGAAGTCGTGATATGGGAGAGTTCCTGATCTCCTTCAACACGAAGGAGGGAAGAGTCGGCCTGTCCCTGCAGCGCACAGGCTGGCTAGTGGAGGTGGAGGCTGGGTGTGAGCAGCCTCAAAACAATCCACAGAAGCTCTTCTTCAGGGGTTAGACTGGAGGAGCCCTTCGAGAAACCCAGGAAACAAGAAAACCACTCCAGGCAGAAACAGAGCCATTCCGGGAGGCGCAGGGGTCTAGGGCAAATGACTCAAGACGTACGAAACTGCTAATGCTTACTGAGTACCTGTTCTGACAAGGAACTAGTCAAGGTCAAGGAACAGAATGGTAAGGAGAAAGGCAAGACGAAAACAAACACGTAGGTAAAAGGGCAGACCAAGTTACTGCGGTCACCAGACTTAAGGATGGACTTCAGGAACAACAAAAATGCCTACAGGATGAAGCAAAGTGCACCACCATAAAGAGGAACCGACTCTCCTGGCTGAGCACAGGATGGGCATGTGGCATCTGACCTCAAGGAAAGACAAGGACACATGAAACGGGGCTAACGACCAGTTAGCGGTGTTTCGCAGTAAGGGAACAAGGACAGCAGTCACAGTCAGTTGTGTTTCGGGGCGGGCTTATGAATGCCTGGGAACCAATCAGTGGCATGGGTCACTGAAAATGCAAGTGAGAGGGAACCAAGGCCAAGGTCGAAGGAGAGGAAGGGAATCTGGGGAGCAGTCCGCAAGTACAGAGCTCTGTGACACTGCCTTGTGGGGAAGGAGGGCTGGGGATGAGATTCAGTATCGAAGGCACAAAAGCATCTCTCTTCAGTCACTACGAAAGGTTGGGGACCATGGGGGGCAAAGTCCGGAGAAGCACCTCCAAGTTACCAGTCTCCTGACTGCCCCCACTAACACACCTGGGCAACTCTGAAGTAGGGGTTCTCCTTCTACTATCCAGGGCTCTGCTCCTTGCTCCAACTTGGTGATAACATCCGGTTTGATAATGGGATGCCCTGTTGGTGAGAAATGGAAGAGGACTTGAGGCTGCTGCTTGGCGTTGGGAGCACTGATGTCAGAAGAACATCCTGCCGAAACAGCTGCACTGTGCCCAGGCCCATCTAGGCTTTGCCACAATCAGAACTATTCACCAAGGGGAGAAAGAAAAACAATACGTCCTGCCTGGTGCCCAAGAGAGGTTAAACGTATTTGTTCCATCACAGTTAAAGCCACTATGTCAGAGAGCAGCCCCATGTGTCTGAGCAACCTTGGTCTCCTCACCCAGTGAAGTCAGATGGCTGTAGTTCTCCAGCATCACGTCCTTGTACATTGTCTTTTGAATAGTGTCCAGTCGTTGCCACTCCTCCTGGGTGAAGTTTACAGCCACATCCTTGAAAGACACTGACCCCTGCAATGGCACCACGATTGGTATTGAGTGACACGGAAAAACAGAAGGGGATGAGGTCTTACCAAGCCCACTGCCCACATTGTGAGCTTTCCTCCCCCACGTTACAGACTGAGAGAGAAAGACACATGGGGGACCATGTGTGGCCCTCCTGCTGAGAAGCCCAGGACCTTGAAGGCCCCTGTGAAAGCCTAGGAGGCATGCTGCTTCTTAGAACCCTCTCTTCCTTCTGCTTCCAGACCTGGACCTGTTAGTTCTCTCCGACGTCTCTGGCTGCTGCTCCTCAGGCACCTTTACTGGCCCCCGTCTGTCACCTAATTTATCCGAAAGTGGGAGTGCCCAAGGCTCACTCTTGGGTTCATTTGTTTCTATTCACACTCCTGGTTTGGGAGTGACCCAGGGTTGCCCTGTGGCTCTAATTCTATGTCTGGAATATCCATATGTATGTCAATGTTGCCCAAACCGACACCACAAACCCAGGCTTCTCTCTCAAACGCCACCGCTGCCCCAGATCTCACAGTCTTCCCAGTTCTGTCTAGGAGCTGGGGGTGACTCCACCTGGAGGCTCTGGCCCTCTTCAGGAACCACTAGTTCCAGCTTGGCTGCCCCGATGAGAAGTCAGGGGTCCAGAAGTCTGCCTATTGCATAGTGCTGCCCCTGGGGCATCCGTCTTGTCAAATGGAACCTACGATTTGAGGGTTGATTAACATGGTGATTTGTACAATGGATCAAAACAGGGCAAAGGACTTGCAGGTCATTCCTAAGGGGAGGAGGAGTATGGAGAAGAAAGGCAGCAGTTTCAGACTGATTCAGGCAAGAAGAACAAATAATACCAGTGTCATTACCAGCAAAACACAGTGAGATCAAAGAAGGGTGCCTGTACCTATCTCTGGTGATGACTGATGTACACTGGCAAAAAATCTCCTCCCTAAACACGCCTAACAGACACAAACACAGCATTTCATTTCACCCACATTTCCGGTCTATTGTCCTTACACAGCTCCTAGCTAAGTATTTGCTTATCTTTGAGCCATTCCCATATCTTAGAGAAGAAAACCTTTATTCCTTTTGGAATCTCAGAAGCTAAGAAAAAGCTCATCTTTTGAGTGAATGAACGAATCAACATATGTTACTCAAGTGAACCGATTACATTCTTTTAAAAAACTTTTAATTGTGAATGAGATGAAGGTTTACCCAATTACATTCCTACATAGGAAATGTTCTGACCAATGCAAGAGAGGGAGAGAACAGTAATGGTTTGAATTGTGTGGGAATCCCACCCCAGACTCATGTGGATGCCCCTATTTGGGAAGGGGATGCTCTTTGTTAGGGTCAATGAGACCCTAACATACTGGACAGAAAACCAAACCCACCGCCATCCAGTGGCAGGGACCCTGTAGGGTGGAGTAGAACTGCTCCTGGGGTCCCCAAGGCTGTGAATCTTTATGGGAGCAGACAGCCTCGTCTTTCTCCCACAGAGCAGCGGGTGGGTTCCAACTTTTGACTTTGTGGTTAACAGTCCCGTGTGCAACTCTCTCTGCCATGAGGACTCCTTAGCAGAGTAGGATGTGTCTGAAATTGAATCACTTTGCTTTATAAGGAACGGCATAAGCACAGAGAACAAGCTAGCACAAAGGAGGGTAGGGAGCAGACACCACATGCAGAGTTCCACAGAAACTGAGGACTCTTGGGGAGGGAGGGCGAAAGCCCAGGAGAAGGCAGGGGTTGGGGAAGATGGGGAGATACACGCACATACTTCCTTTACAGCAGGGACCCGAAATTCAGACTCCCAGCTTCCTAAACTGCGAGAGACTAAATTTCTGTTCTTTGCAAACCACCTACTTGTGGTATTTCGTTAGAGCAGCACGGGGAAAGGAGAGCAGGTGCAGAGTCCACAGCAGCAGGCTAATTGTAATCGGAAGTGGGACAATGTGCACCTGCTCCAAGTTTCTGGCTCTGTAATTGCAGTCACAAAACGTACAATTGTGTGAGTTTGGAAATCGCTTCTAGCTGCGCCTTATCAGAAAAACCAAAGCAAACAAAAAACAACAATGAGCACTACAATACGAAGGGGGAGAAACGAGGCCGGTTTCTATTTGGCAGGCGTGGCTGCGTGAAAACAGGAACAACAGGATGCCGAGTGTTTGGGCATCTGGGCCAAGCTCACGTCAGGGCAAAGGGAGAAGGAGAAGCCTGTGCTGCGTCTCCTCTGTCTTCAAAGCAAAACAAAATCACTCGTCAAGCTTTTTCCAGCTTTGAGAAAATGAGTTTCAGAAAATTTATTTTGCACTTGGTTAGCACAACTGGTCAGAATGGCAGGTATCAAAGACTTGGGCTTAGTTTCACCAAGAAGAGGGAACCATCCAGGGCAGATGAGCACTAAAAACCTGCTCCATACAGGCCATAATCCAGAGAGCTTGACAATAATGGAGGCTGGAGCTGGGTTACAGGCTCCCACCCAGAGCAGCAATTTGGGAGAGACGGGATACTTCTCCAAGCACTCCCTTTACTGGAGCAGGGTTTCTGGGCAGGGGCTATCTGCTAGGGGCTGGAAGAACACGACCATGGTGGAAGAAGCTGGACCTATACATACTGACGCAAGAGGGTGCTGTTGAGCTGCAAATCCTCCACGCAAAACCATCTCAAGAACAGAATGCACAGCAAGGCATTCATAGGGACAGCATTGTTCGGATGCTCTGGCAACCCTTTCCCAAAGAATCTATTGTTCAAATCCTCATCATTTGGGGGCTGTCGCAAACTCTACCTCAACCTCATCCCCACTCTTAGCCGGTGAGCTGGTGATTCCTATTTGAGGAAAGAGAAGTGACTAGAACGGAAAGCCACGTGGTCCATCCCATCACTAACCAAGCGCCAGTCACCCCCAGCCCACAGACTCTGCCAGGCCCTCTCGCCGACTCACAGCCATGCTCCCCATTTCCATGGACTGCCAGAACAACAAGAGCTGTCCGGTACAGCCATGTTCCTTAGAACAGAGGACGGCGAGACGTCGCCTCATGTATTGTGGACACGTCACCAGAGGGCCCAGTCTCCAGAGAGCCTGATGCTCGGTAACAGAAAGACCCTCCGTGAGGTGGATTGCAGCAGCGGCTGCAACCACGGGCACAAACAACAATTATGAGGATTACACAGGCCGGGCCGTGCTGCCTCGTGTTGTAAGTGGGGTCGCTCCCAGTCTGAGCCCAGCAGATGGCCCCTAACAACAAATGATGTGCTTTGTCCCCAGGCAACTTACACACACCACACCCTCCTTGGGGGCCCAGATGGCCTCTCCTTGCATGGAGACAAGTTTGAGGCATGAAAGGCATTGGCTTGTGGGTGGTTCTTTAGGAAGGCTATTTGCAACTACATCAAGATCAGTCAAAGGGAAAAACCGGGTCGAATGCCATGGAACATACAAAACCAACGGGGAAGCCAAAGCGCCTCTGATAGCCAATGTAAGTCTCCTCGTGGATGGCGTCATGGACTGAAACGTGTCCCCCTCACAGCTTGTGTTATAAATCCCAACCCGATTCCGTGGGAGGCGCCCTGGTGGTGCAGGGCTAAGTGCTCAGCTGCTGAGGAGTCAGAGGCCGAAAGGCTCTCCCGCCAGTCCCTCCACGAGAGAACGATGCGGCAGTCTGCACTACGTAAAGACGTACAGCCGTGCAAACCCATGGAGGCAGCGCTACCCAGTCCTCCGGGGTTGGAGTCGAAACTGACTTGCTGGTAGTGGTTTTTATACCTGAGGCTTAGATGGTGCATCTGTCACGTGAGTGAGGCAGCACTAGGGAGGGGTGTGGCTTACATTAGTCTCCGGTGAGATCTACAAAAGCAGAGTGAACCAGCAGGCACAGATGGCCCATGAGAGGTGCTAAAGAACCTGAGACAGGGAAGCAGAAGAGAGATAAGCACCCTCCCCTCTCCTGGAGCCGGCGCCCTGCGGGAACTGCTAGTCTCCCAGACTGTGGGAGAAGAAATTCTGTTACAGCCACCCACGTGGTGTTATTTCTGTGTTAGCAGCCCTCGTTATAACTAAGGCAGATGGTTACTCGTCATCTTTCAGCCACGAATGCCAAGCGCATGCGACATCCCGCAGCTTGGCCAAATCAGCTCTGCAGGCCCCCCCCTCCCCCCGCCCCCCATGAGACCCGGGGCTATTCTGCCACGCCACAGCCACATCTTTTCTCTATTTCCACTTCCTCCCTTTAAAGGTAAACCCACACTCCGTCACCTAATTCACGGTACAAATATGTTAAAAAATAAGAAAATCTAGTATAACAGATTTTATATATAAGTATACATATACATATATAATACACTGCCAGATCTTTCTTAAAAACATAAAAGGAAGCCTTACAGCAGTGGTTCTCAACCTTCCTAATGCCACAACCCTCTAATATAGTTCCTCATGTTTTGGTGACCGCACCAAGCATAAAATTATTTTCGTTGCTACTTTATAAGTGCAATTTTGCTGCTGTTATGAATCCGGCGACCCCTATGAAAGGGTCGTCCAGCCCCCGAGAACCGCTGCTTTACACGCTTCCTAAAACGCACTGTATTGTCAAGCAAATTCGAGGATAAATACGTGGCTGGAAACACTCACCTGGGGCTTCTCCATTTTCAGCCGTCTCGGGGAAGCACTGGACTGTGAGCTTGACGGCGGACCTAGGGGGTGGGGTGGGGGGCGGGGACAAACCAATGGCCTCATGAGGTGCCAGGCTGCCAGAGGGAATACTGACCTGTCACCAATCCCAAGCCCTGCCATTCTGCACAAGTCACCCACCTCCTCAGCCCCACATTTCTCCTCAAACGAGGCACCTGGAGAACCCGCGCAGTATTCGCCTGCACTGTGTACTGGGCAGGCACCTGGATGTTGCCGGCGGATTGATTTCCGGTCCGAAGGGACGGCTTGGCCGTTCCAAGCCACTCAGCCCCACTAGGGAAGCAAGCGGGGGGATCTGCTCCCAAACATGACAGCCGGGAGCCTGAGGCACAGTTCGACGCTGTTAACACACGGGGCCGCCATAAGTCAAGAATGAACTGCTGGGTCCCGGGGTTCGTTTGGGGTTTTCAGTGCACTCCAAGGGCAGAAGGTTGACGCGCGGAGGTGGCGCTGGGTGTAAGGAGAGGGTGGTGAGAGCAGGTGGAGGCAGGGTGTGATGTCGGGGTGTGAGGGGAGGAGTGGCGAGAGAATGTCCTTAGCTGGGACTGGTGACCCCTTCCTTCTCCTCCAGTAAGCCCTGTCCTCACTGTAAGTCCCCAGGCAAGGGCCTTTCCTGCGCTGCCGGGCCCCTCCCCATGCCCTCAAACCCAGCGCACTGGTCACTTGTGGAAGCGGTGAGCACCCATATTATCACACAGCCTGCAATGTCCTCACGTGGGCCTCGCTCAGGGCCGCAGGGCCACCACCTACCCCTTCGGGGGCGGCTCCGCCTCTGCCTCACGGCTCGGGGAGCGGCCGGCGGCTGGTGCTGACCTCTCTGGCGGGGCCTCTGCTCCCGAGTGTCCACGTCAAGGAAGGGGTCCTGTTCTCAAGTCCACTTCGGCCGGATCGTTCCTGGTGGGGGTGGAGCTCACCACTACACCGGGGCTTCAGCCAGATCGCCGGCAAAAGCGGACCAGGGCCGCCTGCGATGCGGACGGGCCGGGCCTCGAGCGTCCAGGGCCCGGGCCGAGAGAGGTGTCCACCGCCGCCGAGGGCCTTCTCCGCTGCGGCCAGCACGGCCCGGCTCGGCGCCACCAGCCACAGCGCCGTGGTCCGCGGAGCTCGCGCCTCCGCACAGCCCGCGCTCGCTGCGATGCTCGCCCACAGCAGGCCAAAGCCTGGGAACGAGGGCGAGCGCTGACCTGCGGAGGGACCGGAAGCGAGGACAGCGCGGCAGCCGTGCGCACGCGCAGACGCCAGGCGCGCACGCGCAGAACAGCGGAAGTCCGCCCACCAGGGTCCGCCGCGGATAACTGCACTCCACTGGACTCCAGTTCCCATAAGTCCACGCGCTTCCACTTTTAGGAGACGTCTCGAGTACTTTTACCTTATGTAACGGGTAAGAGGCGCTATGTGTTTTGGGGGTTCTTTCCCCCAAATCCTAGCTCAATGTTGTATGTGTAGAAATGACACGTAGTGGACAGCGTGACTGTATCCTGTGGTCCTAGTCCTGTCTCTAAGACCGTTTGAATGAGAACAAAGTTTTATCCACACCAGAAGGAAAATAAAAGGTGCATCCTGTTCGCTTTAATACTAGAAATTTCACTCAAATGCAGGAGTTTAGTAAATGCCCAGAGATACAATAAAAGAATATTACTCAGAGACATAGTTTCTTCAAAGAAAAGATTAAAACAACAACCTGCTCGCAACTTTTCTAAGTCGCACAATAGGTAAACATGGTAGAAGAGTCAGCATATGCAAACCACCGGAAGAAGAAAACATACCTGTAATCTTATCTCTTAGAAGTGATTATGTTTGCCACTGGGTTAAAAAAAAGCCATATTCCAGAATTGGATCATGAGAACAATGAGGCAACAGTGTTCTTGGAAAACAATTCTGTTCACCGCTTCACCTTTCATGTTGCAGCAATGTTCTTGATGAAGCATATTTCAACAGCTCTCTGGACATCTCCTGTCACCCCGGAAAGTAATTGCCACAAATACAGGAAAGAACGAAAACAGTTTTCGTACTGAATGAGTGTTAAGTGTTTAACATTCTCGTAGTGGCAAGGTCAGCAGTTTGAAACAACCAGCCTCTCTGCAGGAGAAAGATGAGGCTTTCTACTCCTGTAAAGAGTTACAGTTAAAAAAAAAAAAGTTACGGTCTTGGAAATTCACAGGAGCAATTCTCTGGTCCTATAGGGCTGCTGCGAGTTCTAATTGACCTGATGCCATGAGTTTGGTTTGGAGATTTTTTGTTTTTAATATCGGAGTGGTGCCGGACTTCTGTTGTCCACAGGGTCACTATGAGTGGCAGCCAACCCCATGGTACCCAACAACAACAACACATGTCACCCCTGGAGATGATGTGTATTGGGAAAACATTCATCAAAGGATTTGTTAGAACTTCTCTGGAAGGAACTTACGTATTTTAGTCCTTCTTACCAATCCCTGTGAGCTGCACGGAATGTGTCAATGGGTAGCAGGAGAAGACAAAGTAAAACACCATGATGAAATGTGCACACACCTGGAGGTAGAAAACGAAAAGATAAGAACATGCTCAACATATCTTAAGCTAAAGGACTGAAGAAAAAGTTCAAGCCTCAAGTTGAACTATTAAAGGATTCTGTGGGGTGGGGGGATACGATTCTGTCCACTAATAGGAGCTCTAATGGTGCATCTGGGTGAGGATTGGACTGCTAACTGCCAGACTGGAAGTTCAAAACCACCAGCAGCTCCCTGGGAGAAAGATGAGGCTTTCTGCTCCCATAAAGATTTATAGCCCAATGGTTACCATGGCTGAAGGAGGAAGCGTTGTTGCTTGGGGGCATTGAGTTTATGTTAATGGTGGTGGAATTTGGAAAAGCATATCAATAACGGTTGTACAACACCACGAGTCTAATCAATGGCACTGAATTATACATGCAGAAGTTGTTGAATTGCAGCATATTTTGTTATGTATATTTTTGTCACAGTAAAAAAATAATTATGTGAAAAAATGATTTGTAGCCTAGGAAATTATATGTAGTGTCCCTGTGCATCAGAATAGACTCAGTGGCAGGTTTTTTTTTTAATTGACACAATTTTGAATGATGCAAGAAACATCAAAAGAAGATGGAAGGAATTCACAGTCATTTTGCCAGAAAGAATTGGTTGACATTTAATCACTTAAAGAGATAGCATATGATAGAGGAAAAGCTATTTAATGCATAATTTCCTGGGGGTGAGGGTCAGGCATTCTGCCAGGGGTCAGACTCAACCCAGGTATGCAAATGGCATCCAACTAAAAAGGAGGGGGAAAGGGTAAGAAAGAAAAAGCGAGGTAGTGGGGGAACAGGACACCAACACCCCCATGGGAAGAGTATTGTTTTTATCTCCACAGGAAAGGGAGAGAGGGACCAGACCTCATCCTGATGCGCCAAGTCTTAAAGGGCAACATATTGGCATGGAGCAGCGAACTAACAGAGAGGATTGTGGAGCCAGTCCCAATCTGAGCTATGTTGACCCCTCCCTAGAAGAACGTACTACAGAGGACAGCACTGAAGATATAGCCGGGGAGAGTGGCAGATCTGTCCAGACCACATGGGAGCAAACTAAGAGGCTAAGGGAAAGAGAGAGAGAGGGAGGGGAGGAGAGAGAGAGAACCACATCGTGGGCCACCAAGCCTCAAGGATGACATTCCTGAGAGGACCGTAGGAGCAGCCTCACCATGAGACAAGATGTCCCCTCACTGGCCCACAGCGCTATGGGGACAGCACTGCAGACAGTGTCCCGCACACCTGGGGGAAACATGATGGGAGAGCAACAGAGCGGGCAGGAGAGCAGAGTAACGGAAGTCCCCAAGGGCTTGGCCTGTCATTAGACCCAATCGGAGAACATTCATAAGGGTCAGCACACAGATCTGGACATTGAGGGAGGGGGCCGGTAATGGGAGAAGAGGAGGTGGAGGGGGGCAGCAAACAAACCCAGGGACAAGGGAGCAACAGGGATCTAAAATCAATGGTGAGGAGGGTATAGAATGCCTGGTGGGGTTTGATCAAGTGCACTGTAGCCAAGAGGAATTACTGAGAGCCAAATGAAGGTGGAACATGATAGTGGGACAGGAGGAAAATAAAAGGAAATAGAGGAAAGAACTAGGAGGCAAAAGCTATTTACAGAGGTATAAATATAGGCATGTATATATGTAAATATATAATGATAGATCTATGTGCATATATTTATATGTTAAGTATTAAGGTAGCAGATGGACATTGGGTCTCTATTCAAGTCCTCCCTCAATGCAAGAACACTTGCTTTGTTCTAATAACCTGGTGTTCTGTGATACTCACCTGCCAGACACGATATCTGAAGTCAAAATGAGAACATAAACATATGTGGTGAAGAAAGCTGATGGTGCCCAGCTATTAAGTGATATAGCATCTGGGGTCTTAAAGGCTTGAAATTGAACAAGCAGCCATCTAGCAGGGAAGCAACAAAGCCCATATGGAAGAAGCACACCAGCCTGTGTAATCATGAGGTGTCGATGCAATCAGGTATCAGGTATCAGAAGACCACAAACAAGCAATTATATCAAGGCAAATGAGGGGGGGTCAGAGTAGAGACCCAAAGTCCATCTGTAGACAATTGGACATCTCCTCACAGAAGGGTCACAAGGAAGGGAGGAGTCAGCCAGGGTGCAGCATAGCACTTCTAAAACCCACAACATTCTTCTTCTTCAATACTTCCTCCCTCCCACTATCATGACCCCAGTTCTACCTTACAAATCCAACTAGACCAGAGCATGTACACTGATACAGATAAGAGCTCTGGACACACGGAGTCCAGGACAGATAAACCCCTCAGGAACAGTAATGGGAGTAGTGATACCATGAGGGTAGAGGGAAGGTGGGGGGAGAAAGAAGAAATCGATCAAAATGATCGGTGTATAATCCCTGCCCCCCCCCCAGGGACAAATAGCAGAAACATAGGTGAAATGAGACAGCAGACAGGGTAAGATATGAAAATAATAACAATAATATCTAATTTATCAAGGGTTCACGAGGGCGGGGGAGGGAGGAGGGAAAAGAAGAGCTGATACCTAGGGCTCAAATAGAAAGAAAGTGTTTTGAAAATGATGATGGCAACATATATACAAGTGTGCTTGATACAATTGATGTATGGATTGTTATTAGAGTTGTAAGAACCCCCAATAAAATGACCTTTAAAAAATAGTTAGAAACTAGGGAAAAGGAAAATAAAAAAGAGAGAGAGAGATATCATAGGATGAAGGACCAATGGTCTTGAAAATAAAAGTCCAACCAACACAGAAGGCAAAACATAAGGCTGTAGGAAATGACAGCATACTAATTTTAAATGTTTCCACCAGTGGATGCAGTTCTGGAAGCACCTCCTAGTCTATGCTAACACATTTGGAAGACAGCCACCTGGCCAACTGACCGGGAGAGATCTCCATTCCAAAGAAAGGTAACCCAACAGAATGTAGAACTTATCAAACAGTATCGCTAATATCACAGGCAAGTGAAATTCTGTTGAATATCTGTCAACAATGGTTTCAGCTGGATATTGACAGAGAACTTCCAGAAATCCAGGCTGCATCCAGAAGATGTAGAACCAGGAATATCATTACTGAAAGAAGATGAATCGTGGCTGAAAGAAAGATGTGTTTTATTGACTATGCATAGGCATTCGACTGTGTGGATCATCACGAACTAGAGATAGCATTGAGAATAACAGGAATTGAAGAACATTTCATTGTGCTCATTCAGATTGTGTGCATAAACCAGGAGGCAGTCCTTTGAACACAACAAGAGAATACTACATGTTTTAAATAAGGAAAGGTGTGCATCAGCACTGTGTCCTTTCGCCATACTCATTCATTCTGAATGCTGAACAAATAATGTGAGAATGGGGACTATCTGAAGATGTACATGGCTTCACGGCTGGAGGAAGGCGTACTAATGACCTGTACTATACCAATGACAGCCTTTTTTTGCTAAAAGAGAAAGGGACCTGAAGCATTTACTGATGAAGATCAAAGACTACGTCTTCAATGTGGATTACAACTCAGTGTAAAAAACCAAACCAAACCAAATCTAACAGCTGGACCAATAGACAACCTCATGTTAAAGGGAGAAAAAACTGAAGTAGACAAGGACATAATTTTACTTGGATCCAAAATCAACACTCATGGAAGCTACCATCAAGAAATCAAACAATTTATTGCATTGGGTAATCTGCTGCCCAAGACTCCTTTAAAATGTTAAAGAGCAAAAGTGTCACTTTTAGGACGAAAGTGCATCTGATCCAAGTCATGGTATTTTTAGTCACTTTATGTGCATAAAAGGAGAGAGGTGGGCTTTCTCCTCCCCTAAAGAGTTACAGTCTTGGGAACGCACAGGGGCAATTCCCCCCTGAGCTGTCGGGTCACTATGAGTTGAGTTGGCGTCATCTTGGTGGCAGTGAGTTTGGTTTTTCATTTATGTGCATGACAGCTGGGTAATGAATAAGGACGAAGACTGGAGACTTGGTTCATTTGAATCACAATGTTGGCAAAGGATTTTGAAAGTCCTTTGGACTGCCCCAAGAACAAACAAATCGGTCTGGGAGGAAGTACAACCAGAATGCTCCTTACAAGTGAGGATGATGAGACTTGGTCTCATGTACTTTGAACGTATTGTCAGGAGAGACTGGGGTCTGGAAAAAGACCTGATGCTTCGTACAGTAGAGGGTCTTCGGGAAAAAGGAGAACCCCAATGAGATGAATTAACACGATGAGGGCAGCCAGGTACTCAAATGGAGTAGCATTTGTGAGCTGGCACAGGCAGGACTGGGCAGTGTTTTGAATGGTCACTATGAGTCAGAGATAACTTGGCATCAGCTTACAACTACAGCCTGTGCTGCAAAACCAGAGGAAACCAAACATTGTATCCAGTTGTCGTGTAAAAAGGAACCCCTCACCAGACTGTGTAGCCTGCAGTAGACTTGAAGCTTACCTCTCAGTGGCCCCATGGCCAAGAGGCGACAGCTTCGGAAGTGGATAATCCATCCTGAGGAGGATGACAGAACAAGACATGCTACAGCCTGCTCCATCTTTTGGATTCTTCCATATGATCTTCATCACCCTGTGCTTTTATTGAATCTTGATTATGGTGGTCTCCTTCGCTGGTAAGATTTTTATTTGCTCATGCAAATGACTGATGGAATATACTGAATTATAGTTGTAGTTGTTGCTTTTATGATATTTGGTCTTCTGTGCTACTTCTGGCTAGTTTTTCTTCTTTAGTAAGGTCAATTTGAGGTTTTCCTGGCTATTTCTACTAATCTCTGCTGAAGCTTGGGGAGAATTCTCTTGTTAAATTGGTCCACACTGTAGTTAGCAGTGGAAATTTTACCAAATGCTGGATAGGCAACTTTCCCTCACAATCCATGCAAGAACATTCTGACCCATTTGCCATCTCAGTACTTGATTATAACAGTCCACCTAGTATTACTGTCGATTTTGATGTGTCAGTGAAATGAACCATCTGTGTAAAATGATAGCATCCTCCCGATTCACCAATGTATCCTTTTGTGCCTCTTTGAATCTCCGGTTTCTGGGTGCATGCTAGCAGATGTTCTGGTTCTGAACATTGTATCCATTTTGTTGCCCATCTGCTCCCCAACTACAAGATCACCTACAAAAGCTAAGATTTGCTCATTTGTAACAACTTCTTAGTTGAGAGCCGGCTAGACAGAGCCAAACAATGTGGCCCTTGTACTCATAAGCAGGCTGCATGGGTTGTGTTCACGTTGAGCAGCAGTTTATTTAAGAAGAAAACTCTTTTAGTGAGCCCTTACAGTAGAGCACCCCGAGCACCCTGTTTACGGAGGGCAGCAGATGACACTGAAAGTCCAATATCCGTTTGCAGGGTCCGACCCCGTGTGCATTTTAAGCCTCCATGGAATCGTTTCTGACCATTAACCAGGGATGCGAGCAGTTTTGCCCTTGGGCAGAGTGCCCTGGAAAGTGGATTACCATCACCACCCTCTAGCCAGCCCAGGAAGGGGTAGTCTCCCTTAGGGGCTTGTCTAAGTGTGTCCTGATGGAATCATTATACTGGGGCTTATCTAGTCTGACGTCAGACGCATTGAGTCATGGCTTGGCTGCCTTGGTCTGTAGGCCTTGAATTCATCTTGTTAGCGCTGCTGTCTAACATAATGTAGGATCCTGACGATGGTTCCTTACCCGATGCTGGAGTCCACCTTTAACTGTGATGTACTGATCTACCACCAAGCATGACTATGTCAGTTTCCACTCGTCTCCATGTCCTATTTAAGTGGCTATGTGGCCATGACTAATGATGACTTCATGCTAATGGTCTCCCAAATCCGGATGGTATGTTTCTGTCCTGTATAAGATTTAGTAAATGTTCTCCTTACATTGTATTTGAGATGTGGGGTCTCTTTTGTACCCTAAAACAAGGAGGAGAACAGGATTCCAAAGCTGTCTTTCTTGGTAGGATCTCTGGAAACTTGCTCCAGAGAAAAGGATGCCTTGTTCTATGTTTTGGAACTCTTGGAACAGGGAAACCTTGTTTTGGGACTTTCCTTCTCCTGTTTAGGGCTTAATAAATGCTCTTCTCAAATTATATTTGAGATCTGGGGACTCTTGTGCCTCCTAATTGCTTTGCCTTTTTAGATGGATGATGGATGTAGAAGTTAATATACCATAGAAACACTGAGGGACTACAGTGTGCTAGTGAATAATGTCGCCACCTGAATTTGTAGTCTTCTCTGTTCCTGGTGTGTCCAGCCATGGTCCACCCTACTGTGTATTTTGATATAGCTGCTGATAGTGAGCCCTGGATGACTTCTCTTTCAAGCTGTTTACAGACAAAGTTCCAAAGAGAGCAGAAAACTTCCGCTCTCTGAGCACTGGGAGCAAGGTTTTAGTGATAAAGGTTCCTGCTTTCACAGAGGCATTCCTGGGTGTGTGTGCCAGGGTGACTTCACATGCCATCATGGCTCTGGTGGGAAGGCCGTCTATGGGGAGAAATGTGATGGCGAGAACTTCATCCTGAAGCACACAGGTCCTGACAGTCTGTCCATGGCAAATGCTAGGCCTAGTCCTCATAGTTCCCAGTTTTTTAAAATTTATTAAAGGATCATTTTATTGGGGGGGATTACAACTCATACAACAATCCATACATCAATTGTATCAAGCATATTTGTACATATGTTGCCATTGTTTTTTTTCTAGACAATTACTTTCTATTGAACCCTTGGTATCAGCTCCTCTTTTTACCCCTCTGGTTCCCAGTTTTGCGTCTGCACAGCTTAGACGGAATTGTTGGATGGCAAACCTGTGGTCTCTGATGAGGTGAAAGATGGCATGACCATGGTGGAAGCCATTGAGTGTTTTGAGTCCAGGAATGCCAAGGCAGTAAGAAGATCCCCACTGCTAGCTACGGGCAACTCTAATACATTTGACCTGCATTTCATGTTTTCTCTTAAGCACCAGGCCAGTACTCATGTAGCTCGGAAAGCACCCATCACTCCCCAGCATAGTTGTAGTATCTTTAATCTTTAATTAAAGATTTAATCTTTAATCTTGTGTTCTCACTCTAGCTCTTTGGGGTCCCTACTTTCCCTATTCCTCTCGGAGTCCCACTGGATAGCAGAGTTAATTTTTTGGTTATGAAAGACAGATTAAACAATAAGACGGAATTTAAAAGTAGAGAAGTCCTCTCGGACAACCCTATAGTAAGTTGACCTGGAAGAGATCGACGAATTCCTTTGAGCCTTTGGACCTACTTATGGCATATTGCTTTTAGAAAATCAAGTCACAATTTATCTACTCTCACAACTCAGCTAGCCAATAACATCGCTATGAAATGACAGCTCAACAAAATCTTTAGGATCCTTTGCTACAGCTGTTGTTAGGTGCCTGTGTTAGGGTGGGTTGACTAGAGAAACAAATCTAGTGATACTCATATATGCGTTAAGAGAGCTTTATGATAAACTCCTTGGGACCACTATTGAGAGTAGCCATACCAGGACTGTAAGGGGAAGGTGGGGAGGAAAAGGGGAAACTGATCACAATGACACCCCCCCCAGGGGGATGGACAATAGACAAGGGGATGGGGGAGACATCGAAGAGTGCAAGACATGAAAAAATAATAATTTGTAAATTATCAAGGGTTCATGAGGGAAGAAGGGAAAGGGAGGGAGGGGAAAAATGAGGAGCCGATACTAAGGGCTCAAGTGGAGAGAAAATGCTTTGAAAATTATGTTGGCAGCATATGTACAAGTGTGCTTGAGGCAATAGATGTATGTATGGATTGTGATCAGAGTTGTGCGAGACCCCAACAAAATGATTTTAAAAAAAGAAAGAACTTTATATGAAGAAGTAATTGTATATCAGGAAAAAATTTCAGCCCATCCAACTCAAGTCCGTAAATCCAATACTAGTTCATAATCCCTCTTCAGACTCACGAAGCCACCTGCAATGATGAAAAATGCAGGAAGATCACAGGCTGGTGGGGGCAAAGTCGTGCAGATCCAATGCCGGTGGACACTTCTCCAGGGCGCTGACAGCAACCAGGGTCATCCAGCAGGAAGGTGAAGACAGAGGTGGGGAGGTTCCCAGGACCCTCATTGTGAGAAGATCACACTCACTAGAAGGCACCATCGGGCTGTGACCTGACTGAATATTAGCACCACCCCTCTATATCTTTTATATATCTTCAAGTTGAAATGAAATTATGTAACTACCACAGTGCCATTGAATCCACTCCCATCCATAGCGGCCCTATGCCTAACAGAATGGAACACTGAGCAGTCCTGTGCCATCCTCGTTCCTATGCCTGAGCCCATGGATGCAGCCACTGTGCCAGTCCAGCTCACTGAGACCCTTGGCCTCCTTCGCTGGCACTCCACTTTACCCTGCTTGATGTTTCTCTGGTGGCTGGTCCCTCCTGACAACATGTCCAACGGATGTGAGATGAAGTCTTGTCATCCTTGCCTCTAAGGAGCACTCTGGCCGTCCTTCTTCCAACACAGATCAGTTTATCCTTTTAGCAGTCCGTGGTATTTTCAATATTCTCCTCCAGCACCACAATTCAAGTGCATTCATTCTTTTGCTGTCTTCCTTATTCAATGTCCATCTTTCATATGCATAGGATGCAATGGAGAATACCATGGCTTGGGTCTGGCGCACTTTGGTCCTCCAAGTAACATTCTTGCTCCAGAACGCTAAGAGGTCTTGTGCAGCAGACTTACCTAATGCAATACATCTTCAGATCGCTTGACTGCTGCTATGAGCATTGATTGTGGATCCAAGAAAGACAAAACCCTTGACAACCTCAACCTTGTCTCCAGTGATCACAATGTCACCTATTGGTCCAGTGGTGAGGATTTGGTTCCTTACACTGAGCTGTAATCCACACTGAAGGCTGCAATCTTTGATCTTCATCAGCAAGTGCTTCAAGTCCTCCTCACCTCAGCAAGCAGGGTTGTGTTATCTGCATATTGCAGGCTATTAATTAACCTTCCTCCAACCCTGATGCCATATTCTTTGTCACGTAACCCATCTTCTCTGATGATTTATTCAGCATACAAATTGAACAAGTACGGTGCCAGGACACAACCCAACGCACACCTTTCTGGATTTAAAACCCTGCAGCATTCCCTTGTTCTGTTTGCACAACTTTCTGTTGATCCGTGTACAAGTTCCTCCTGAGCACAATGAAATGTTCTGGAATTCCCATTCTTCTTAAGGCTATCCACAGCTTATCATAGTCCACACAGTCAAATTCCTTTACATAGTCAATGAAATGCAAGTAAACATTTTTCTGGTATTCTCTGCTTTGAGCCAAGATCCATCAGCAATGGTATCCTTGTTCCACACCCTCTTCTGAATCTAGCCTGAACGCCTAGCAGTTCCCTGTCAATGTATTACTGCAATTGTTGTAGGATGATCTTAATCAAAACTTTACTCGTGTGCAATATCAATGATATCGTTTTATAGTTTGAGCATTCTGTCGGGTCACCTTTGTTTGGAATGGTGACCAAGCAGCTGTCTTCCAAATGTCCTCACCTAGGTGAGTGAGTGCTTCCAGTGCTTCTTCAGCTTTTCTGAAACATCTCAATGGGTATTCCATCAATTCCTAGAGTCGTGTTTTTGG